CTATCTCGTCCCTCGTACACGATTCTCATGGACGAGCGCCGAGAGTTGACCTCGCGTTATGCGGAAAGTGCCTCAGACGATTGCTCGAAGCACCGCGCTAGGTGGTGAGCGTAATGACCCCCGCTGACCTGGTCCCTCGACACTCGGCTCACTCCAATTTTGAGGAATAATTGAGCGTGGCAATGGTTTTCACCGCAGCTCGAGGACCGAACTCAGACCAATCTTCGTCCGAGGAGAAGGTTGTCTTTCGCTTCAGAAGCCGGCTCCGACCTCGAGTGGCGACGAATCGATATGAGCAGGCGAAACAAGGTTGGAAACGCTGTGAGGAATTACCTACGAACTTTATCCGAATGTGAGGCATTGCTCTTCGAGGGCTCCGTACAGCGGATCCCAAGGAACAAAGCGAAAGCATACGCCTTCCCGCATGAGATGTAACTCCTCGAACAGTATCGACAGCAGAGGACGCAAGACTTGCCGTGGCGACGACGTGAAGCATTTATAGCTCAGAGATCGTCGGCTCGAAGAGGCGCTCCTCCATCGAGAGGACAAAGGACTGGGGTCCGAGGACTGAATAAACGAGGTTCATGTATAATTTTTCACTTTATTCGAGCACGCTTGCAAGATGGCGCAGCCGACGCTTTACCTTTAGAGATAGACCGGGGCAACAGCCTCATGAGCGGGTTCGAATCCACTCGCCCGGCCTCAAGCGGAGAGACTGTAAACTCGGACTCTGCTCTACAGAACTCGAAGGAGATGAGAAAGATTTCCAGAGCCCGTTCAGATATGCCTCAATTTCCGTGACCTCACTCGTCGTCGGAGCTATGTCTCGATTCATTGGGAATTGAGGAATTCGTACATCCGGTGGAAAGGGTCTGGTTGTCTAGTTATTGGGATGTGACGGGAGTCCACAGCTCAATGGGAACAGGCGTCTCCGAGCCTGCTCGCGGAATCAAGCGGACAGCGACGGAGAAGATCCGTCCCGAGCCCAGGTGTGCCGATCTCGTGAATGCGACCATATGCCAAGTCTCACGAGGTCATAGAGAGAAACATGGAAAATTTCATAAAACAATGTACTACACTGAAATCTGCCGTGGAACGCCCGACAGATCAAGAGCTGTTTGTTTGATATCTGGAATCGGGGAATGGCTCCACCAAGTTCCGCGAACTCTGTCCAGGCAGGCACTCATTGTTCTCTGGGCGATGTCTTCGCTTCCGGGCAAAAATCTCAAGAGACACTCCGGGAGCCGCGCAGCACGATTTCCCCGCACAAAGTTCCATAGAAAGGGAGACCAGGGTGGAAATCAGACAGAAATGTATTATAGGTGTGAGCTTCGCGAAGCTTTCCGCGTTGAACACGTTGTCGGAGCTACCAGAGCTATTGGCGTAGCTTTTCGCTGTTTGAGCGAGACCGGCCTTATAGGCCCGCTCGAAGAGTCTCTTCTCCCCGAAAAGCGATGTCTTGAACTTCGGACGCTTGATGAAGCGTTTCATCACGATCGCCCCATGCTCCAAGAGGTGCTCCATCGTTCGGCTGGTACGAATGAGAATCAAATTAAATTGTCCGTGCGACGCACTCGTGAACGAGGCCGTATTGTATGCTGTGAAATCGACTTGCAGAAACCAGGATCGCGAAGCGCGCTTGTATATTTCGTTCGCGGTCGATGTCGTGAATTTTAGAAGGGGTAACTCTAGGGACATCCTCATTGGCTCGGTCAGGCCGCACATACAGTCCCCATTCAGCAGACTCAGTTTCACAGTCTCTGTGTCCTCGCAAAACAATCTGAATTCGCAATTCAGGGAATAGTTGCAAGCCTCAGACAGCACCAAGGGTTCGAGGAAGGCCGACATGAAACAATTCGAGTAAATTCTGTGGATCCAAGAAGACAACAGGAGTGCTGACAGCGCAAGGAGGAACAACGTGTTCCCAAAATGCGATTTGTGGAAATCGAGCTTCTGGAGGCTGAGCATCGTTTCTATCGAGCACTGTAGGATCGAGGTGCACAGGATACGGGACTCCACGGCGGCGATCACGAGCACACTCAGAAGGGCACAGATCCACACCTCCGTGGCGAAAGGTTTCAAGAAAGCTGTCACGTCTGTCTGTCTGTAGCGGAACTTCTTGAAACACTGCATGGTCCTCGGTTGATACAAGGCGTATTTGGTGGTCATATGCGACTCAAATATGTACGTGCTTGGGTCCGTTTCGAACGCGTGGTAGTTCGCCTGGTAATGGCCGTCGATCACAGAGACGTTGCATCGGAATTTCAGAGTCAGAGTGAATATTTGGCGCGATCTTCGAATGTTCCTCTGGAATCCGATCTCTCGCACCGCGCATGGCGTTTCCGAGGTCTCTTCACATTCCTTCTTCGAGGCCCGAGAATCCCAGAAGAGCAGTGAGTCGAAAGTTTTCACGCAGTGGTAGACGGGCGTTCTGTTCGGGCTCCATACCAAGGTGGGGAAGTTTGCCGCCAAAGCCAAAGTTTTGGGTCCTACAATCACATGTAAGAGACATTTGTGTCGGAGATTCTGCATTTTATCATATGGAGCCCGCCAGTGAGAGCTGTAGATCACCTTCTGGCTCGGTGAGATCGAAATGATTTTCAAATTGTTTCGGAGGATCTCCAGAAAAGCAGGCAGAACCGACGCATGGTTTCGCTGGGGGGAGTTTTCGTATGCAGCGACAAAAAGCGAGTTCGACTCGCTGGAGAATGTTTCGCGAGCGAGAACACCATCAAGACCGAGCAGGAGAAGTCGAGTCGACGGGACCCGTCGGTCCAGGGCGAATTTTTCCAAAGCCCTGATGAGGCTTGGAATATCGGACTGACCATGCCCTCCCTGATGCCGGAGGAAGAGGATGAGAATGACCGAGACCACGCACGGGGTTTGAGCTCCCTGCCTCATCGCAACGGGGGAGTCCTCAGGAGTGTGGTATTTATCGAGAGGTTTCCAGGACGAGAGTCGTCTCACAGATTGTCGACCGCAGTTCGTGAAGGTCGATAGCGTCATTTCGTTTTTCGCTCGTTGAGGAGGCTCCCGAATAAGATAGCTCAGACTGTGAGTGTCACCGAAATTTGAGCTTTCGCATTCAAATTCTAGCCCGCATCGAGCTCCGAAAATTGCATTTGGGGATCCTTGTCGCCCTCTTCTGTAATGCTTGATGATTACATGCGCTATTACGCTCACTCTGTCTCTCCTGGTACCGCCCAAGGCTCGACAGCGATCCAATCCAGGATGATGACAATGACCGTCAAGATAGGGCTGGGAATGACGCGTGGAAACTCGCCGTGCCCTTGCCCAAAGGTTCAGTCCTCGGATATTTGGACCACGACGCCAGAAGCCTTCGTGGAAGCGATCGGATATTCTCGATGAAAAGGGCCGTCCCTGGCTGAAGACGTCCAACTCGCGGGCGAAATAGCCCACTGTGAGCTCTGAGGTGACCGCCTTCACGAGTCCGATATTTGTAGACTTACCGTGAATATCCCGCGAGGCCCACGCTTCTATAATTCCAAATCCCTTAAGAAGGGGGCTTCTAGAAGAGGGTCTCCTTTCTATTTGGACGGGTGCTTCTATGATATCAGAGAGAAGCTGAGGGGAGCAAACAAAGCGTTGAGACATAATCACGGCGATCATGGAGGGAAGACTTCAAGCTCCCCCTCTTTCCTGAACTCCTCGAAGTAGCCGCTGAGCAGTAGGATTGACTCGTCCTCCGAAGCCTCGTCTCGACCCTCCCGAAGGCGCGATCAGCGGGCAGGTAAGAGTGCCCTCTGATGAAGAAGTACTCGATTTAATCTTGGTGCGAGTCGCAAAGACGGATAACATGCCGAGCATCGCGTAGTTCTTGTTCTGTCCGGCACATTTATCACTAAATAGCCTTGCTTTCTTGGTACAAACTGGCAAACTCGTATCCAAGTAATGATAGAGGGCGCTCCCGATCTCATTGGGACCCTCCCTGCTTGATGCTCGCCCCAGGTATCGAAGGTTACCTTCTGAGTCAGATTTGTGACAAGCAGCGTCAACGCATCGTACAATACCGAGAAAAAACTACCGCTGTTGGCGAGCGTGGTCCGCCTCACCGACGGGCGTGCGGGGCAGTCATTGGTCCTGCATTAAGTCGAAGCGAAGGGTGACGACCGTATCGTCATTCTGCTCCTCCTTTAGAAGTTTGTAAAACTTCTTCGCTCGGAACTGATGCAACGCCTGGTCCGCCGCAAATATGTCCCTCTCCTCCTCGTCCCGCTCGACCCGAAGTCTCTCCGGATAGCTGACGCTTGTGGAACAGACATCACTCCGAGGATGACCGAAGGTCAAACTATACTCGGATACAAACGTAAAGATAATAGGTTTTGTACGCTGCTCCAGAATGTGGATGAGTTTCGACGAACATGCTGGGCATTTTCGAGACACTCACCGGCAATAAGCAGGATAAAGACTTTTCCCGATCGGGCATACCTTAATTATTCTACACCCTCCCAACCCGAAGTACCTAAATGCGGGCAAATGTGCAAATGGAGGTACCTCTGGGGCCGAAGTGGCCCGGTTTCCCCTACACGCAACTTCCAGGTCCAGGGATATTTCCTTGTGTCCTTCCTGAATCGCTCAAAATATCACCTTAACTCCCAGCACAAAGCTACTACGGGCGCAATGCTGGCTACTCCGCTGCTCGTCAGCCTGTTTCTCCGTTGCGGCCTCTCCTCTATCAGCGGTTTCTCTGTTGCGGCCTCTCCCCTATCAGCTGTTTCTTCGTTGCGGCCTTTCCTCCACTAGCTGTCTCTTCTCTGGCGAACCGACTGTCCTTCCGACAGCTGATTCCGGCTCCGTCGATTCTCGCGGCCGAAATAGTTGAAGAAAAACAGGTTCCGGTTGCAATCCTACGTGGTTTTTATGTGCGATCAGGGTATTCCATGAATACCATGGATTCAAACCGGACGGCCAAGAGGACAAGGATCTCCTACACAGCAGAACGGAAACTGGGAGTCTTACGCCATGATAAACAGTTCGGAATGACAGCAACGCTCCTTGAATCCAATGTATCGAAGAGTAGGCTCTATCGCTGGAGGATAGAGGAGGAGAAGCTCTCCACGACCGACAGAAGACGCAGAGCTTTCAGGAAAGGCAAAGCTAAGCTTTCGGCTCCGGAACCTGAGATCAAACAGTGGGTCCTCGAACGCAGTTCACTAAACAGAGCGCTTCAGGTGCGCGATGTTCAGAGAAAAGCCTTGGAGAGAGCGAAGAACGCCGGCATAGAGAATTTCAAAGCTTCGAACGGATGGGTCCACATGAAGAGGAACAACCGAAGCGTTCGGAGACCAACCGGCGTGGGTCAACCTCTCCCGAATGGAGCCGTCGAGAAGATCGCAGCATTCCGCGAGTTTGTCATGGATGCCACGTCAGGATTAACACCCTCAAGTGTGGGTAATATGGACGAAGTTCCAAAGCCCTTCGACATCACCTACGGTCGGACCGTGAG